CACTCCCGCCCCACCCCGCGAAAGGGGTGGGGGTAGGGAAGCGATGGTGTGAGGTCAAAACTGTTTTGTAGTGGGTTGCGCAAAGCTTAAGAAACACTGAGTTAGAGACATTTGAGAGAGGGAGTGAAATAAACACAAGTCTACCAATTTCCCCTTCTAGAAAAAGTGACAGGAAAAAGTAAAACTCTACTAGTTTCTACTATACTTCTGTTAAGAAACAGCCATATGCATAATGTGAGTTCCCTTTGAACGGATAGACCAGTCCAATGCTGGACTAGGTGTTTTTTTCCCCCACTGGTGGACCAGTCAGGAGAGCCAGTTTGGTGACTGGTTAATGGCACCTGATTATACTGAGTTCTAGTCCTGCCTTAGGCACAAGCCAACTGGGTGACTTTGGGCAGTCCCTGTCTCTCTGCATTAAGAAGGAGAAGGCCAGGGCAAACTCCTTCTGAAAATCTTGCCCAGAAAACTTCAGGGACTTGTCCAGGCAGTCGCCAGGAGTCCACACTGTCTCAAAGGCATACATGTACAAAAAAGAAACCAGTGAAACACTTCACAGGCTAACAATGTCCAGCGGCCCTGGGAGTCTGCTGCATAAACTGATGGGGTGGACAAGTTCAAAAGTTTTAAGTTCTAGAGAAGTCAACAAATCATGGAAAGTTCTATGGATGGAAGCCACATCTCAAAGATCCACCTACAAGGAACACTGCTGGTGCTTGCTTTTCCAGCATAGGTGGAAGGTGGAAAGAACAAAGAAACCTGCAATCAAGGCCCGCAAGGATAGAATCCAGAAAGCAATTTCTGGATGGAATCCGGAAAGTGACTTCTGGACAGAATCCAGAAAGCGACTTCTGGGCAGAATCCAGAAAGCAGTTTCTTAAGCAGCTTCATTTTTCCTGCTGGTTTCAGCCCAGAAGACAGGCAGCTGAAGGCTGCCCTGCAGAATAGTCCTACTCATTCAATCACGGTCCCACAGCTCTGCTCACCAGCTGTGCCATGATAACTGCCCAGATGCAGGCGGTAATAGTCAGCTGGAGGGTCCACGCGGAAGCTCTGATAGGTGGCATAGACGGACTCATTGCCAGCGCGGAGATCCACACGTAGCTCGTAGTCCCCTGAAGACGTCAGCTGGTGCAGGGCATCATTCCCTGGAGCCAAAGAGAAAAGGAGGATGTGTCTTCTGAAGGACAGACTCCATTACAGTGGCAATGGGGGCACTGTTGGAAGAACTGGAAGACCAGGTTAGGGACAGTCCATCATGGAGAAAATCGATCTTTGTGGTCACCAAGAGTCAACAACAACTTGATGGCATGTAATCAATCAATTGATCTCCTGAAGGAGGCTAAAGAAGGAGTGCTTCTAAGTGATGAAAGCCCTCCACATATGTGCTCCAGAAACTCTCATACCACTGCACAGCCTTATTATCATCTTTCTAAGAGTTTTATCTCTTCTTCTCCTTCCTTCCCAAAGTGAAGGCTACAAAGCACTTGGTGAACTTAGGGCAGAAGGCAAACTTGAACCCCCAGCTTTGTACTGATGGCTCAGTTGCGTAGGATAGCCTTCTCCAACCAGGGACGCTCTCCAAAAGAACAGATTTAACTCACAGCATATTCTGGGTGTTGAAGCCCACCCATCTGGCAGGCACCAGCCAAGAAAGGTCAGTTTAAGGTCAAATTAAGTGCGCAATGAGCACTCCCAACTGCATTTTTCATAGGTGGGCCTTGATATATACTGGGAACGTTCAAATATTCTACACTTTTTTGTTTCCCTGCAAAAAGGAGCGCCTGACAAAAATCTCCATTTCCTACACAAACATGCACAACACACTAGATAGTAGTAGAAATAGGACTTTTTAAAGCTATTTATTTATTTATGTATTGCATTTATTGCATTTATATAGCTGTCCATCTCACACAAAATGACTCTGGGTGGTGTACAGCAATTAAATAAAATAACAGATAAAAACCATAATAATAAAAGATAAAAAAGTGATTATGTCAGCAGGGCCAGCTCTATCTTTTTCAATATAGGGCTAATGTCTGTTTTTTCCAGGAGAGTTTAGAGAAGAACAGGATTTACCAAAGTCCACATCACTGTCCTGCCCTTACTTTTAAATAAAATAATAATTAAAAAAAAAACTTGCTGCAGTGATGTATTTCATGAAATGGGTTACCTGACCCTCACCTCTTTTGGATGTATTGAGACTATACATCCCAAGGACCCAGCCTGTATTTGGCCACATCGACAGAGAATTATGGGAGCTGCAGTCTTGTTAGGGGACTCTGCAAAAGTCTCTAGGAGTTTTCTGAACTCCAGTTGGACAAAGAGGAAGCCATCGGTGAACTCTGCTGGTTTGTGGTTGAAGGTCCTGATCTAAAAAACCAGGCTCAACTGAGAAAGGGCTTTGTCTTGCGGCCGGCTCTCAACCTCAGTTTCCAGTTTGTAAAAAGACATGAAGGATGAAATGGCGGTCCTATTTGGCTACACAGAGAGATGAGGAGAGGTAGGCAAAGTAACCGACTTACCTAGCCAAAATTCCCGGGTGAGGTTGCCAAAGCCAAGAGCATAATCCCGCCAATCCCGCCAGAAATCCGTCTCACCGTTCATCCGACGTTGAAAGACCTGGGGACAAGGAGGAGGAGGAGGAGGAGAAGGAGAAGAATGTGGGTGCCACGTTGTGTCTTCTTCTCTACACAAATACAGGATGCGCACCTGAGCAGCCCCTGGGTGATGTCAAATGCAATGAAATGACCAGGTATGTGTATTTCACCCAAGGCAAATCCACTTACATATACACATTTGCATAATTGATTATGTTAATTATGGGGTTGGGCCAGAGAAAGGTAGGGTACCATGAAATAACACCCTGACTTGCTAGTAGTATATATAAACATATGCCAAAGTGCACATGTGGACATTCTCATACCTGCATGGATGGAGCAGGAAGGAAAAAAAGATGTTAGTAATCAGATATCAGAAAGCAATAAAACCCCAAGATATATTTCTACACAATTTGGGGAGCAATTTTTCTCCATATATAGAAACTTCTATATATGTCAAATGATGAGACATGCATCATCACATCAGGATGCAAGCTCGCCCTGTTCATACTTGAGTCACAACGTTGCACACGGATACGTGAGGGGTGGAGTTTTTGCCGTGTTTGTGATGTGGTTGCTTGCTCTCCCTTGTCCCCACTGCAGAAGTCTATCTTCTCACCGGTCCCGATTTTGATCAGTAGAAAGTTGGCCGAGATCTGCTGTCATGCTTCCAAACCTTCAAAAGGTTCTGTCCCACAAACTTCACAATGTCTTCTGCAGGTATAAACACTAGAGCAGTGTTCTTCCAACTTGGCATCTTTAAGATGTGTGGACTTCAACTCCCAGAATTCCGCTGGCTGGGGAATTCTGGGAATTGAAGTCCACACAACTTAAAGTTGCCAAGTTGGAAGAACACTGCACTAGAGTGTCCTTCTCCAATCTGTCACCTTCTACATCTGTTGGCTCAACATGACCGCTCTCCAAGAATAGCATGTTGACTATGGATGATGGGATCTATGGTCTGACATATCCAGAAAGTTGGGGAAGGATGCTACCTTAAAGACTTGCATTTGTTTCTCTTCAGCAGAATACACACACACACAGTTTAAGATTCCCCAGTTGCCAAAGTCTGTGGCTGAAAAAACAGCATGCATGAAATCATGGCTAGGGGAAACCAGACATACACAAAGATTCCTTGACAAGCAGCTGTAGGCTGACCATCACCAACCCAACCATATTGTTCATACTCACAATCCAGCCTCCTCCATCTGTCTCCATGTCACAGAACACCTGCAAGGGATGTTCCTGGTTGCCCCCTAGATAAATTGTTGTTGCTCGTGAGGGTCCTGGCCCATTCTGGATTTCTTCTGAGCAGTCCCGAGGGAAGGGGTATGTCAGGTGGCCTGTCCAAGAAAGGAAGGATGCTCAGTGGTTATCTGTCAGGTTTAGCCCAAAGAACTCCAAGAAGTGCAAAATCAGTCCAGCTATGTTTATTAGCTACAACCTCTAGCAAGAATCTTCCCAGACTGAAACCGCAGCTCCCAAGCCAGCC